TTGGGTGTACCCTATTAAGAAGAAGTCAGATGTGTTTTCAACTTTCAAAAACTTCAAAGCGAGGGTGGAACTTGATTCTGGAAATAAGATCAAGTGTTTCAAAACAGATAATGGAGGAGAATACACAAGCGAAGAATTTGATGACTTTTGTAGGAAAGAAGGCATCAAAAGACAGTTCACAGTGGCGAACACTCCTCAACAAAATAGAGTGGCAGAGCGGATGAATAGAACCTTGTTAGAAAGAACAAGAGCAATGTTGAGGGATGCAGGCCTAGAAAAATCATTCTGGGCAGAAGCAGTCAATACCGCCTGTTATTTGGTGAATCGAGCTCCATCAACTGCAATAGAGCTGAAGACACCAATGGAGATGTGGACTGGTAAACCAATTGATTATTCAAACCTCCATGTATTTGGAAGTATTGTGTACGTGATGTACAACGCCCAAGAAACTTCAAAGTTGGATCCAAAATCCAGGAAATGCAAATTCTTGGGGTATGCTGATGGTGTAAAGGGGTATCGCTTGTGGGATCCCACTGCCCGCAAAGTGATCATCAGCAGGGATGTTATCTTTGTAGAAGATAAACTACAAAGAAAAGAAGATGATGATAGCGCTGAAAAGTCAGAGACTACACAGATACATGTGGAAAAGGAGATGGAGCAAAGAGATTATTCTGAAGTAGAACTAGCACATGATGAACAAGAACCAGAGAGTTCTGAAACTCCAACAACTCATCAACCAGATCGTGTGAGAAGACGTCCCAATTGGCACTCAGATTATGTTATAGAAGGTAATATTGCATACTGCCTTTAAACAGAGGACGGTGAGCCATCAACATACCAGGAGGCAATAAACAACTCAGATGTTTCACTGTGGATGATGGCGATGCAAGAAGAAATTGAAGCCCTTCATAAAAATAATACATGGGACCTTGTGCCACTGCCACAAGGAAGGAAGCCAATTGGTAACAAATGGGTCTTCAAAATCAAGCGAAATGGTGACGATCAAGTTGAGAGGTATCGTGCAAGACTGGTGGTCAAAGGATATGCTCAAAAGAAAGGTATTGATTTCAATGAAATATTTTCTCATGTGGTTCGATTAACAACAGTTCGAGTAGTTTTGCAATGTGTGCTACATTGAACTTACATCTAGAGCAACTAGATGTTAAAACAACTTTTCTTCATGGAAATCTTGAATAAGATATTTATATGCTCCAGCCTGAAGGTTTTGAAGAAGACGAAAAGAAGAACTTGGTTTGCAGGTTGAACAAATATATGTACGGTCTAAAGCAGGCGTCGAGGTGTTGGTAAGAGATTTGATTCCTTCATTATGTGCCTTGGATACAACAGACTTAATGCTGACCCTTGTGCTTATTTCAAGAGGTCTGGTGATAACGATTTTGTTATATTGCTATTGTATGTGGATGACATGTTGGTTGCAGGACCCAACAAAGATCATATTGAAGAATTGAAGGCACAACTGGCTAGGGAATTTGAAATGAAGGACTTGGGATCAGCAAACAAGATTCTAGGGATGCAAATTCACCGAGACAGAAGTAATAGGAAGATTTGGCTTTCACAAAAGAATTACTTGAAGAAAATCTTGTCACGATTTAGCATGCAAGATTGTAAGCCAATTTCTACCCCTCTTCCTATTAACTTCAAATTATCCTCCAGTATGAGTCCTAGCAGTGAAGAAGAGAGGATGGAGATGTCTCGAGTACCGTATGCATCAGCAGTGGGAAGCTTAATGTTCGCTATGATATGCACAAGACCAGACATTGCACAAGCAGTGGGAGTGGTTAGTCGGTACATGGCGAATCCAGGCAAAGAGCATTGGAATACAGTAAAGAGGATCCTGAGATACATCAAAGGGACCTCAAATGTTGCATTATACTACGGAGGATCAAACTTACTAATCAATGGGTGTGCAGATTCTGACTATGTAGGGGATTTGGATAAAAGCAAATCTACTACATGATATGTGTTCAAAGTTGCTGGTGGAGCTGTAAGTTGGGTTTCAAAATTACAGTCAGTTGTGGCTACATCCACAACAGAGGCAGAATATGTAGCAGCTACACAAGCCAGTAAAGAAGCAATTTGGTTGAAGATGCTATTGGAGGAGCTTGGGCACAATCAAGAGTATGTCTCTCTGTTTTGTGACAGTCAAAGCGCCTTGTATTTAGCAAGGAATCCAGCATTTCATTCAAGGACAAAGCACATACGAGTTCAGTACCATTTCAGTCGTGAAAAGGTGGAAGAAGGGACGATAGATATGCAGAAAATCCATACCAAAGACAACATAGCAAATTTCACGACGAAGGCGATCAATACTGATAAATTTACTTGGTGTCGATCCTCCTGTGGCCTGTCAGAGACATAAGTAACATGATGGTACAAGGTAGAAAGAATGGTGTGAAGATATGATTGTTCCAATCAAATCTTCAAGTGGAAGATTGTAGAAAGTCAAAAATAATAAATGGGTTGGCACCGAAAATTAGGTGCATAATTTTTTATTATTTTTTATATGGTCAAATTACAAACTCTAGTCACTAAAATTTAGGGTATTTACAAGATTAAGTCCTTAAGATTTAGCTATAAATATCCTATCTCATTTAGCTTTAAAACCATCCCAAAACATTCTAGCTTTCTTCCAATACTAGAGAGAATTTAGAGAGTTTCTTGAGAGTTGTTTTCTCCTTTTTATCAAGAGAGAATTATCATTGTTTTCTCCTTGGTCGATCGAGAGAAGTTGTAATTCCTATTTTCTCATAGTGAAATTCTTCTACCTTTTGCCCGTGGTTTTTACCCTATATTATTTAGGGGTTTTTCACGTAAATTTTGTGTCTCTTTTATCTTCATTTTATTTTCTCAAATTATCAGTTGCGATTTTGATCTATCCGATAACCGTCTTCCCAACAAAATTACCACACATCCTTACCTTTTGTTGACGCATTTTCAACATGGCAATGCATGGGAACTGTTTGTCCACTAATATATTAAGGGATAGGATTTGGCGACGATCACACATATTCTCTTACATGTCCATATTTGGAAACGAACATCACATAAATTAACTAGATATTTTTATTTCTTAAATTATTATAAAATTATTATGTTTTATTTATTTTTCTTAAATAAAGTTTATGTTGAAAGGCTTTTAAAAAAATGATTTATTGTCATTTCTATTTAATCTTATCGTTCTTTTTCTAAGGTAAACTACACCAATAGTCATTAAACCTTTAGAACACTTTTATTTTATTTATTGAAAATTTAAAACATGTATTATAATTACTAAATTTTTAATTCACTTTCATTGTGTAAATTATTATTACAAATTTTTGACATGATATGTTAAAGTCATTTTTTCCCAAAAAAACCCCTAATGTTCCAAAATTTTAGCCTCACTAAGGCCAAATTTTTTACGAATAGAGCGACCGCCAATCCACATTAACAGTGGAAAAGATCTATTATGTCAAAAGATAAACATAATTTGGTTTCAAGTAATCTGACAATTGACAACAATAGATAGAAAAGTTTAAACTTTTAATTTCGATTAAGATTTGAGGAAACTGGAAGGTTTTCTGACGAGCTTAAAGCTAAAGAAAGAAAGAGAAGAAAATGAGTAGTTTAGTAATCTTTTTGATCAAATAATCCACCAAAGACTGGTAAAAACAACAACAAAAGGAGACAATGGTCCAACAGAAACTAATAGATAGAACCTTTTGATTTGCCATTATTAAACGTCAGGTTAACTTGAAATCAGACTATGTTAATCTATTGGTCAAGCAAAATTTTCTTACTATTGGGATTTATCGATAACCACTTCGTTCATGGAGAACTCAATTGTTGTAGCAATTTTCATATTGATTTTTTTAGAAGAAGACTCCATTACAACATTTTTCAATGAAAAGTAACAGTAGTGATCGTAACAAAAATGAATTAAAATTTTAATGATTATAATATAAATTTTAAAAGTTTGATGATCAAAATAAAAACATCCTAGAATGGTTACTAATATAACTAAATAAAATAAGGGCCAGATATGGAAAGCTATTTGGTATGCAATCCAACAATATACTGGAAAGCTATTTGGTATGCAATCAAACAAGGGGTTGCTGGTTCATATACAAACGTTAGGTCCAAAATTAAAAGACCTAATTTTAGAATATTATTTCAATTTCGTATTGGCCCAATATACATTTGATTCCCCTTAAAAGAAACTAACACAAACATCATTATAGTTAAGGATTTTGTCATTTGTAATGTTGTCTTTTTTCGACTTAAGTTTTCTTTTAATATTTTTGTGTCGTCTTTCTCTTTCTTTTTAAGTTTTATTTAGTCATTGGTAACACTAATTTTAATATTAGTTGTCGACCGTCGATAATTCTTATTATTTTTTCATATTATATCTTTTATTTTCCTTTTCTTTTTAAGTTTTTTTTTCAATTTTAAATAAGAATCTTTGTCTTTATAACTAGTTTTTCTTTACTCTAGTGACACTTTTCCTCTTCTCTTGTGGCATATTCCTTATGATTTTTGGTATGTTTTTCGCATACCTCTATGATCGTGTGGGTGCTCGCACAAAAATACTTACGATTTTTGTTTTCTTATTAGTTTGTAGGTGGCCACGTATCATCAGATCCTCTTGTAAAAGGTTGTTTGCCGATTTAATCAAAATTGTGTAACGAAACAGTATGCCAAATTGTTTGGTTCGTTCACCACTCCTTTCTCACTTTATAAAGCCTATCGTTCGAGAGAGGCAAATAATTTTATGAATGTTAATTACTAGATTCTTTTGATGTTGGATATCATTCTCAAGGGAATATTTCGTTTTTCTTCGTATCTTTAGGTTTAATAATTTTGTTTTATGTATGATTTTTTTACTATTCTCCCTATTTTTCTCTATATATTTTAGTGCGTTGTAATTTTGATTCATTCCATTATTTTTATTAATAAAATCCAATTATCATTATTAAAAAAATAAAAATCATTATCTTTGGAATTTTCAAAATTGAAAAGAAATTAAACAAAAAAATAAAATCAAACTTTATGTTACACCACAACAAAAATAAAAGAAATTCCATTGATTGCTTAATTATACCACCAGTCCTGCAGTATACTTAACTCCAGTCGACGGCAACCACAAGTTCCCTTCAATGAACTGAGCCACCGTAAAACTCCCAGCTTCAGCTGAGTTATTCAAAGCATGGTAGCCGGGCCATCGAACCCTGCCACCGAGACCGGCTCCGGGGCCGAAATTCATGAACTCGGCATAATACAATGTGTCCAAAGCAAAATCTTGGTTCCATTCAAGCCACCCTTGTGGCCTTATGGCATTACCGATGTAGGATTGCATGATGATGGTTCTTGAATACAGCTTCCAGGGTCTCCCGAGGTACGTTGGAGTCGAGTTGACATTAGGTAACAGATCGGTGTCGGCCGTGATGTTGCAAAACTGGATTGAGAAACCCGTTGGCTGGTTCGGATCTTTCCTTCCCTGTGCGGTGATCGTGTTTTTCTGGTTGGGTAGGCCTTGCTTGGCTAGGATGTGGCAGTTTTGGAACACTACGACTGCGTCGCCGAATATGAAATCCACGGTGCCGGAGATTTTGCATTCGCGGAAGAACTGACGCATCGTGTGAGTGTAGAGTGAATCTTGGTAGCCCCTAATGGCACATCGGAAGAAAACCGAGAGGTCGGAATCGGACCGCAGTGCTACGGCTTGGTGTTTCTTGGGTCCTGCCGTGTTCTCGAATGTTATGTCCCTTGCTATGAATCCTCTTCCGCTAACAGCTGCAGATTTTAAGACAAAAACATTCCATGCATGTCACATCTTACGTCTTTGCTATTTAATTCGATTTGATTCAATTTCGAATATAATTATAACATATTATAAACTTGACTGTACTCACCAAATGTTGCAGATCGAAATGTGGTCCAACCATCAATGAAGCTTCGGTTCCCCGATATGACTGTCACATCCATTCCATCACCAATCATCACAATGTTCCATTTCTTCTTCTTGATTTCCACATTCTCTTTATACAAACCCTTCTTAACATAAATAACATATCGGTTCATGCTGTAATCGGGTGCCGCCGTCACGGCTTCCATTATGGTGGCAAAGTTTCCGGTCCCATCTGCTGCAACCACAGCATCCGCCGTTACCCCATTTGCTGATTGCAACAACTTCCGGTCTTCCGTTTTGAACCATGTCGGAAACTTGTTGCTCTTGACACTTTTCCGGCCACCTTTAGTGGCGGCGAAGGACATGGAACTGGGAGGACCTGGGTTCACCATTGTGAGAAGGTTAGTGACCAGTGAAGTGACTTGGTTCAGACCCACGGAAACAACCGTTTTGGCGATGCCATTTGTACCGTCAAACCCTTCCATGCATGTTTGCTGATTCGCCATTGCAGCACTCAACCATGTCCTTAAATCAGAAGATACATCACCGGTGCTGTTATGCTTACCTGCAAATATGTAAATTTATGGAGTATATAATATAGTAATCTAGCTTAGTTTAAATTACCGTTGACCAGAGACCAAAAAAAAGGAAAATAATATGGTTTTGATCCCTCTCTTTTGTTCAAATTCAAGATTCACTCATATCAGTTAATTTGACCTAATTTGATCAATTTATTCTTTTATATTATCTTTAGACAGTAGAGACTATTAACTATTTTTGTTAAAATTTTGAAATCATTAACTATTATCACTTTAACTAAAATCTTTATATTAAATTAGATCGAGTTAAGTCAAAATCAAAATTTTAATTAAAATTCTAGGTCAAATTTAGGGCAAGTAAAAATATTTATAAAATTGGATCGGACTAGATTAAGGTTAGATTTTATTTTTCTAGTGTTGAGTCAACTTCGGATCGATCAAAAATCTATCTCAATCAGCCTTGTTACCATCCCTACTAATGAACCTATAAAAATAGAGATGAAATTATTAATAATTAAAATACATGGATTAAATGAAAATATTGAGAAAAATATAGGTATGAAAACCATAATTGTACCCAAAAGGATGTAAGGTTAGGGAAGTACCGGTTGGATTCTTGGAAGCAGAGAGGGACCAGCTTAGCTGATCAGTAGAAATATCCAGGAGATCAAGGCAATCCGAAATGGCATTCGAAAGTCTAAAATCACCAACAAGGTTGCCGAACTGAGAAACGATGGGCGTCACTTGTCTTACGGCATCGATGGCGGTCCTTAGAGAGCCGGCAAACTCGGCTGCTGGCACAGTCAAACACTCGGCTCCGAGAAAATCATTGCTGCTTCCGGCGTTGGAACCGGTGCAGCAGAAACAAAGGGTGACCAAGATGACCGACAAATACAATGAGGGTGAGGATAGATTTGGCATGTTTTTTTGTGTGGAAAGATGTGTACTTTGAAATTAAAGAGAAGCTTTGCATGTCGTGAAGAATACAGAGAGAGTGTGTGTAATGAAATGAATATTTATGGAGGAAACAAGGCTATGGGAGTTGGATGGGGGGAAGATGATGGAATTAAAGAGGGAGGTGGAGACTTGAAGATAACTCTGATGACTGATAACTTTGGGTGACATGAATCGTTATTTTTAGTAACATATAATATTTAGGGTTTTAAATCTCGGTCGCAGTCGTGTTTTCGGTCATTTCGTGTTTATCGTGATTGTGACATTCGCGGGCACTATTACGGCTGTTGCGGGTTCTATTGAGCGCTATTGCGGGTGTAGCGGGTAACTCAGACGACGGTGAAACCACTATTTGAAACCTGGACATTATTGTTACTTGTGGCCAGTTATCCTTGTGTCGTCGTGAATCTACGTATGTATTTTATCTACAATATGTTCATACAATAATAATAATATGAGGGATAAAGATCATTCATTCGCTACTAGTTATTTAATATCCAAAAATTTTAGAATAAAACAATTAATTTAATATTATAGATAGAATATCATTAAATTATAATTTAATAATATTTCATATAATTAAACATGATATATTATATAAGGTGGACATAACACGTATCATCATCTTATTAGAGGGTTAATTAAAAGTATAATTTATATAATTATGATCAAATATGTCATTATATAAATTTACTTAAATCCCACGTCAACAAATTTCATTAATAATTAAATGTCGTTGACTTAATTGAAATCAATTTGATCAATATATCAAAATCACCTAAACCTAACATTTAATCTATGAAAAGAATGGGTAGTTATTGGAAGGTTAGCTATTTGATAATGCAATAAAGGAAAATGAGTGAATTTAAAGCATAACATCCAATGATGCGTTGCTGATGAATAAACAAACGTTAGGTCCAAAATTAAGTCCCAATTTTCCCAACTATATGATAATGACTTCGATTAGTATATATTTCAATTTTCAGTTAAGTATCGGTCCAATATGCATGTGATTCCCTTTAAACAAAAAAAATATTAATTATTTGATGGAAAACGCTACCGTTCTTATAATTCTACTCAACCATTATTAGACTTTGGCAATATTTTGTTAGGTCCGACTTTGGCAAGACATAATTCGGGAAAGTCAATGAATAACGAGGGCGGTTCCCTGTGCATCTCTAGTGTGTCGCAGTCGAGTGTTGGAGGTACGACCCAAATTTAATCGGTCCAAACGACGGTCATTCTTTTATTTTGATTATGCTGATGTTAGAGGGCAACCATTCCAATAATAGTACCAAATTGTTTCTTACAAATACTAATGTATTCGAAGTTCTCTCCGAGGTGTAGCTTAATGGTTAAAGACACATAACTATCATCTTTTATAAAGTTTAGACAATAGTTCTAATGATTGTAACGTACTATTTATTTAAATTATTTATTTATTTATTAATAATATATAATATGTAAATGTATTTGCTCGAACTCGAGACTATTTGAGAGAATAATAATTCTTTTTAGCACTGAGGTCACTTGATGAGTTCAATATGGTATTTTTTTCGAGTAACTTAAATTCCAACAATATTATCTACCTGACGTATATAAAATTATTTTAAAAGGAAACATGACATTTTATAAGAACATAAATATTCATCAGTAGGGAAAGTTAAAAGATATAGGGTAAAGCTACAAATATATTCTTTTTTTTTAGCATTATCGGTACTTGATATCTTGATCGACTAATTCAGATTAAATTCTATAGAGCTTCATTACAAGACGACTCTCTTAATCCAATTTTTTTATTCACAACATCAAAATTCAAACTTCTAACATTTATTTAACCTTGGTTTAAACTTAACTACAGGGCTGTATAGTCTTGTTTTAAATTGGACTGCATTGTTTGTTATTTCTGGGCTAGTTTCTCCATTGGTCTAAATCCAATGGGCTTGGCTTTGCCTGATTCCCCTTATCAATAAAGTACATAGATATGCCATATAGTATATATCATACAGCCTATAGGTTTACATGAGATCGCAGGTTACAAACTCGAAACTTGAACCTTATTTTGTCACTTATCTATCCAAAATGTGCAGCAACAGGAAAACAACAACAGCAAACTAAGAAAATTAGTTCAACTCCTCATGTTTACCCAAGAATAAGATATAACCATCAAAAGACAGACCCTTTACGTAAAAAAGCAAACTGATTGATACAACATATTGTTCGCGGTAGCTTTGGATATTGTTCAAACCTATGGTATCAAGCTGGTGTAGAAAGCTGAGTGACCATTTGTCATACATACATACATACATACATACACATACATGCATGCATACAACAAAAAATGGGATGACCTTTGCTGCTTCAGTGGAATCATGGATCAACCTTCAAGCTCTTATTTCTGCATCATACAAGACAATAAGAAATACAAGAAATGCATTATTTCACTCACATTCCTTCCAGTTTTTTCTTCAAAATCAATCAGTACAATCATGTTCCCCACTTTTGGCCAGCCTCCTTAGAGATGATTTGCCCTGAACAATAATAAGCTCGGATTTTTCGGCACTATCAAATGTTTTAGGGTACGAGAAACATTTTACAAAACTGCGATGTAGGAGTTTGTCCATAGAGACCATGTTAAAGGATAGAAGAGCTAAGGATCCACGACGCTATTTGTTGTTCTACTTCTTCCCAGTTGTGTACTTTAGTCACTAAAGGGTGTTCCTCCACTGATCGTGTCTTACACCAAGGATATGAGTTCTCGTAATCGAAAAGCAGAACTCGGATTCCAACTTGAGCACACTCAAGAGCATATCTCGGGTTATCATCAATTAGGATCTTGGCTCCTAATGACCTGCAAGAGAATTAACTCGGCAAGAAAAAGAAAAAAAGAACTTCTGAAATAACTTCTCCGGGGAATTAATGAGCTCATCGAGACAACTACCGTGAAAAGATGCCGGTATACTTGCATTATATAAATGATATGGAAACAAGTGCGCTTGAGATTATTAAAAGGAACTGATCGGTGAAAAGAAAGGTAACTATTAAAAGCATCCGGAAGCAGCTTACGTACGTACCGGCATATTTCTGACTTAGGTCTAGACTTTCCATCAAGAGCAAAATGGTTGCCAAAGTGAATCTCCTGGAAAAGTCCAGGATAGTGTTTCTCTAACCACTCTATTGTATGATCCTTAATAACATTCTGCCGAGACCTACTCGTACATTAATGAAAGACTAGCTTAAGTGCAAAAGTAAAAGAATAAAGGCATTATTAAAGAAGATAGTATGCATACATACGTTACGACTGAAAGGCTGCAGAATCTTGATAACTTGTGAAGAGCCAGCTGAGCACCTGGGAGGGGGTGGATACCTTTCTTGAAATATGGTGTCTTGAAGAACTCATGGACACGGATATCAGCTGTCAAAACAAGAAAATAGGGCATGTTCTGAAGAAATACTTAGCCAAAGCAAACTCAACAACGGGCAAAGAGTTGAACATTTTTCAGAGAGGATATCAAAACATCCAGCATTCTATTAAACAATAAGAACATATTCAAAATGTTGAAACATAAGGCAAAAACTTACCATAGATACACGTTACACTTATTCTAATGCTTTTCCACTTTTAAAATGAAAAAAGAAATTCCTCGAATCACTTCCTATAAGGATCAACTTAGTCTATTTATTTAAGATGAAATATCAAAGAACAAGACAAACCCATAAAGAACTACACCTAGGTTAGCAATTTTTACCTTTTATCTGAAACACAAGCAAAATTCATCACAATTTATACAAAGAATTTGATGAATTTCAATATAATAGTAGCATCATCTTAATACATGCCTTCTTGTCATATGAAATTAATATATATATATATCCATCAACAGAGGAATTAATGAGTATGCCTACTAATACCTTCATCCCGAGAACAGTTCCATATCTGTAACAGGAAAAAAAAGGCATTAGAACACTTATTAAAGAAACATAATCAACACCGAAACAACAGCGGCCTATCTAAAGCAGAAAACACAGGGGCAAAAGAACATTTATTAAATTGAAGACCACATGTCCCCAACTGCAAAGTAAACAGTCATGTTACTGCAACTTGAACATGGAAGCAAATTCATTTCCCAATTATCAAACAGAATGAGACCATTACCAACAAAACTTGTAATACGAAGGACAAGAAGCGTTCACATGGAAACTATTCGAACGAGAATCACATAGCACATAAAGCTGGACTCTTCAGATAAAAACTCATTACAACTTTGACAGTGCCTACATCAATCATATCAAAGATCTTCATGGCATTAATATGAGCCTTTCGGGGTCAATGAAGAACCATTATTTATTTATTTATTTATTTCTTCTTTGGGTATTCGCTCTTTCACATTAATAGGACTCATCATCCTTTTCCATTTAATTAAAATCAACATCAATTGACTTATAGCAAAAGACTTCCAATTATTCTCATTATTGACTTCATTCTACTACTATTCACAACAAGAAGGAAATAAATAAATCATGAAAAAAGTCTTACCCTGAAAAATTCGTACACATGATACTCTGAAACCGAATGATTAAACGAATAACGATCCGCTATAAATCTGTTCAAAGCCGACACAAAGTTTCCTAGTACTGCTTATACCAAAAAGTAAGAAAAGAAAGATAAAATTTGCGTTAGAAAATACATGATTCTCACCCAAAAAAGGGAGTATGGGAAGAAAAATGAAATTGTACCTTCATCGACATCGACAGCAACCACAATTTTCTCCGGCAACGGCTTGACAGGAAAATCAAGAGCCCCCCTCTGAAACGAACCGTTAGAATCAGCCACCGTCTTTGCCTTTTTCTGGGGTTCATTATGATTAGAAATTTCTAATTCGCGCGCCAATCGGGAAGCAAAGACTACTGTTTTCTGATCCCAGGCTCTAGGGGAATTCTCCAAACAACTTTTGATGCTCAAATTTAACCCAGAGGCCGATTTGTTAAACTTAAAACCGCTGCCGCCGCAGACATTGTAATTTTCGAGCGGGACGAGCTTGAGCAGCCGTTGGTCGCTCGGCAACGCGTGGAGCTGGCTCGAAAACGGAGAGTCACGAGGCAAAAACGCCATGCCCTTACGATTACTGCAGAGGGTTTGATTGAATAACAAACGA